CTTTACATGAACTCGTTTCCGTTCGTTCTCCATTGTTCTCCCATAAAAAATGCATTATTAAATAATTTAAATAACATTTTTTCAAATATATTGTTAGCATTTTGACGTTTTTTACTATTCAAATCTATGCGTTTTTTTAGCCATGGACTCTGATAGAATTGTAAAACTCAATGAATTTTCTTTACGCAAAGACCTAAGTAAGACCTAAGTAATACCGAGTTCAACTATTTAGGAGAAGGATAAATGAAGTAAAAATCTATCCAGATAACTCGTATTTGTGTGCCAGTGATTTGTCCAGTCGCTAACTCCTGTCCTCTGGCTGGTGTTTGGCCCAGTGAGCACAAACATCACGCTTTACCCAGCCGCGGTTATAAACGACGTGAAGAATTATCCATGAGCCATGTGTGACTAATTTTTGTTTGCGCACCTCGTACGTAATTGCGTATTATCCTTGCACTTTTATTGGTATTGTATATTTTTTAATTTAATAATACGTTTGTTTTTACCTACGTTTTTTTTTAGTATGCATATATTTAGTATGCATATATTTAGTATGCATATAGTCTTATACCATGTACCCCCGCAGAGGACATCTGCAGGATGTCGAAAAATTGACTTTTCTAGATTGTTATTAAAATACAGTCAAGCTCTATATTCAAATTTTAAGCGTTATTAAATTATTTTTCTACAAGGGGGTAAGTGCTTAGGAGATTTTAAACTTTAAAATACTGTTTAATATTGTGTTCTAAAATTTGTAAAAGATATGTATATCATGTATTTTTTTAAATCTGATTATTTGTCACAGAATTCAAAGTGAATATTTTTTAGTGGTCTTTCTCTTTTTTGTATATTTCAACCAAATTTTAGCCTATTTATTAATATATTTGCCAGTAAGTTATATCATTCAATTAATATATACATTACTCTATGATTTTGATCATTGATATAGTCACTAACCCTATGTTTCAAAATTCTCTTTCTCGCTTTTTGATCTTGTGTTTGTTTTTTCCACAGTAAACGTATCCTGTACCTGTTGTAGATTTTTTAAGTGCACTAGCATATTATTTTTTTAATAGCTGATCTCTTCTTCTTTTCAACTTCAATTTATTAATTGCCTTGAAAAATTATGACATCTCTGTGCTTTTTTTAAAACTTTTACTATTTTTTATCTCTTCTCGCCTCATACCGTCGCTTTCTTATTTTTCTACGCTTCCTGGTCTCTGTTTTTGAATCCCTTGTCTACGCCACTCCTTATGTTTTCTCATTTTCACTAACATTGAGCACTCCTATTTTTTTTCCATATCTTGAATTTATTGTGCAATTTTACAGACCATTCTTTCCCCCTTTTTTTATCCATCTCAAGTTTCTTACGTACGTCCCAAGCTTTTTCGTAACTATATTCCATTTGTTTTTTATATCTATTTTCTCCGTGTCTGGTTTCACTTTCTTAATATGTATTTCATAATTATGCATAATACTTTTGTATTAACATCATTGTAATGTAACTCTTTTATATGTTTTATTTAGTTCGCATTCACTTAAAGCCTTTTGCTAACATATTTCACCGATGTTATTCGAATAATTTTTTTCATATTATAAGCTCTTACATATTATGGGGATCCATTTCTTGAACTGTACATTATTGTATTGATTTTTCCATGTTTAATTTTATTTTAACATAACTATACCAGTCACACCATTTAGTTTTTCTACACTCTTGTTTGATAATTTTTTCGGTGTCCCTTTGACTCATGAGTAACATGTGCCTGATTTACACTTTTTCAATGAGCTTCTTGTCTTGTTATAACTTATTAAAGTTTCTAACTGCCAACCAATTCTGTTATGTTTCTTTTTGAACCTAATATGAAGAATACTGTCATTATCTGCGGACTACCCTTCTAGTTGGGTAAAATTAGCTGATATGTGGCGGAAAAAAAAAACATGTAGTTGTGAACTTTGATTTCAAAATTTTCTTTGTTGGGTAATTTATAAACCTTAAAAAAAATTGGAAAAGGTGTTTTCGTCAAATAGCCATCGAAAGGTTTTGGGCCAACGTAGACCAATTGTTAAAACGTGCTTTTGTTAACCAACAGTTGCTCTGCAACATACTACAATGTCGTACCGTTACACCTAGAAAAAGTGTGCTAAAATTTAGTGGTGAAAAAACTAAGCACTGTGGTCTAGTAGTGGAGGGCCACTGAGCGTGAAGTGTGACTATAGGGAGAATTCTGTTAAATTTTGACTGCATTTTATTTCAATTTCTTTTCATTTGAAAGTAAAAAAGGCAATGATGATAATACAATAATATATTTACATACAATTACGCATATGTGTCACTTGTGTCATATATAATTACTAACTGCTGCGACGTCAAAATATTTTTCTATTACTTCTCGCATCTCCTTAATGTGTTTGTCCCCTGTATCTCGTATGTCTTGCATACTGAGGTCGTCTAAAATGTTTTGGAAATTCTTCTGTAAATGCATAGAAACGCATGCATGTAAATCATCTTGTAGTACCATTTTATCAGCATTTATGTTGCTGCGCGTTTCACCGTTGTAAGTTGACCATAAGTGAGTTCATGTTAATCTGTGCATTTAAAAACTGTACATATTACTCTTGCAACTTTTTTGCAGTAGCACGATATTTTTTCAATAGTTTCTGGTGAAATCAATCTATTTTTAGAGTATCCAGGTGCCAAGCCATATGCAGAACTTTTCCACCTCCAAAAGACAAGGTTTTTGTCTTTGCCAAGCCACTTGTATGATTATAAGTACACTTTGTAACTGTGTTTAGTAGCAGTACCTTAATAAAAGGTCGATTTTGTGATTTTAATAACAACCTACTAAAAGATTTCAGATACTGCGTGTATTGTAAGTTGTTGAGCAATTGTGTTATTCTGGAGATGGAGTACAATGAATTCTGTAACTGCATTGCTGCACTCTACTATTGAGTTATCGCTAATAGAACGAAAATTATAGACTATTGTAAAAATGTCCCAAAGAAGTGGTTTTTTGCAGTTTACTCAAAAACTACTAGACTGATCGATGCTCAAAAAACTCATTTTTTTGTTTTTTTAATGTGCATTTTCTACCTCCTTACACCTTATTTGTCAAATGCATAGTTTTTTCGTAAACTGGAAAACGTGATTTTGATAATTTTTGCTATTTTTTTAGCCATCTTGCCTCGCTAGGATTAGGGCTTAAACTTACTATGTTATTTAAATTATTATTATCTAACAAAAAAAAATTTCCGCTCGAGTAGTAAACATTTTTAAAGCGTTACGTTTTTTCGTCATTTTGTATACATACACATGGTAGGCCATTTCAATTCATGCATATGAATATCTTGCCGGAGGCGTCACCTTTAAAAAAATGAACTTTACGAAAGTTTCTAAGTGCAAAGGGAGACACAATTAAATGATGACCTTAAATTTAACATTGACGTAAATTTTCAAGGTTATTTTCCGGTTGATGGCTATCCTGATAAGATATTTTATTACGTAATTGCCTAAATTAATGCGGTTTGTCCTTCAATTGTCTTCATGTATCATCAACAAAAGAAATTTAGTTAGTAGCACTTTCAACGTAAAAATTTAATGCTCTTCCAAAATCTAAAATGAAAAATTAGAGTTCCCGTATGAAAAGTACGATTTGATTGTAAAATTATTTAAAAATGAAGGTAAAGGTTTAATTCAAAGTCATTGTGTCAACTCTATTAGTTTTTTTGGTAGGCGGTGCCTCTGGCAAAATAGTTAAATGCATAGATTGAAATGGCCCACCCTATATATATATATAGGGATTCCATTTAGCTGTACAGGTATGTGCAACCAAAGCACATCTGATGACGCACGAACACGAAAAGCAAATGAGTCAGCATGATATAATAGTGGAGGGAGGGCAGAAAATGCGTAGGTGACTTGAAAAGAAAAAGCCAGTGGGGCTATCAAAGCACGAGTGTCAAAGTTTAAAAACAATTTGTAAAGTCGACTTTTTCAAAATCTTAAAAAATTTAATTCATTTAAATTTTATGTTTTAGAACCCAAAATTAAATAAACAATTTTTTTACATCTTCCTAGGTTTGCACGTGACACTAACTCTCAGTTTGTATAAGTTTTATTTTACTGCAGAAATCTTCACATAATATAATTATACAATAAGTTTTCCAAATTAATGTAGAAGCGGAACTGTAAAAGCTTTTAAAATAATACCATGGCTTTTTTAAAAGTCATATTGTAGTAAATTTTAACTAATGGATACAGCTTTTGAAAAAATTCAATTCGTGTCATAAATAATATTGATTATTTAAGGAGGTATAACTCCTTTAACATTATTTGAAATTCATTAGTATAAAAAACTTCCAGAATTTTTTGGGGATTGAAAATTCTGTCTTCTCAACGTCAATCGTTAAAGCAGGTTTGTTTCCTTCTTATTTATAATTTTTTTACTTTGTAGAGTGAGTAATAGTGTTCAAAGTTGGCGTATTGAAATTAAAAAAAAAAAAAAAATCAATTGAAGTTATATGAAGCCACGTGATTATCGCAGTTATTTTATGTAGCAAAATATCTTTTTTTTTTTAAATCCTTGTAGTGTATTTATAAATTTTGGACGGAATACCTGCGTTTACCAATTTGGTGCTTTTGTTATTGCAATAACTGTAGGTTTTTTGAAGAGATCAACTATTGTATAAAAAGTTTATAAACCTTTTTCTGTATCCCCTTTTTTTCTATCAAACGAACTACTTTGTGATTTTGCATATGGATATAGATAAGTATACATTTAGTAATAAAAAAGCTGTTAGTTTCATGCAGGAGTATTTAGATTCTAAATGTTGTGGTCTTGACTCACTCAATAAAATAAAATAAATACTGTTATTATCTTTGTGCTAGTAAATGTCATAAAGGTAAAGCCCTACTAATGCACATATATACGAATGTATAGTGTTTAACTTGATGTATTGCAGTCGTTGATGGATTTTAAACACAACTTCTTGTCCTTTAGGAATGGAAGGTGCAGAAATTAATAAGTCATTATTGGCTTTAAAGGAATGTATTCGAGCTCTTGGTCGTAAAGGAACTCATCTACCTTTCAGAGCAAGTAAATTAACACAAGTTTTGAGGGACAGCTTTATTGGAGAGAAATCAAAAACTTGTATGGTAAAGTATTTTTTTTTTTAATTTGTAATTAAGATTTTCTTTGTGATAAATTCTTTTTCAAAGACAGTATCTTTACTACCAAGACCTACTTGCCTATCAAAACTACCTTAGGTCATGGTTTTGCATGAATTTTAATTAAACTTTAATCTCTTAAATTACTACTTAGGTTGCATAGTAAAGTAAAAAATTAATAGTATCATAGTTCAGAGAGTAAGATTTGATCTTAATAATTTACTTTTAAATCCTTATAGTTTACTTTTAGTTTTTTATAGGTGCTTGATTCGTACTAGAGCGATTTTTGAGTAGTACGTAACAAGTTGTACATAAATGCGAGCTTAGTAATGCTTTATTAGTATTAAACATTGGCTATGTCACACTGAAGTCCTGCTCAAGTAACCCTGAAGTATCGACTGCATATCACTTAAGTACCTCTGAAGTTTTGCTCAAGTATCGCTTAAGTTCCTTTTTAAGTACCACCTAAATAACACCTGTGTACTGATCTAATACCACTCAAGTACCATATAACTCATAGCAAACAAATAACTCCTGTCTGTAGTAATATTCTAAGTAGATTGTGATGAGCTTAAAGACCTGGAAAAAGTCTAAGATCTTATGAAACATTATCAAACAATTAAACAATATCATAACGTATACCAGCTTCTAAGAACGTAAGTGGTAAATAAACTTTTTCTGCAAATTTTTCCTATACAAAGCTTGTTTCGTGAGTAACAATGTTATTAGAGTACTTATGAAATCAACACAAGAAAATTATATTAAACTATTTATCAGTTAATTAAATGACAAAACAACCGTATCACTCGCATTCATCTCAAATCTTGAACCGATTACTTCCACGTCTGTCCTGCGAGAGAGATTGCCTATTTCATCTTCTAGTCCTAACCTATACTTTTATCTCCCATTCTATACCTTTATTGTGAGTCCAGCTATGCTATTGTATACAGCCACTTAGCCAGACTTAATGGGGATGTAGCCAGTACTCTTTCAAGTCGCTAAGTCCTTATTGTTATATTTTAGAATGAGATTAGTTGATAAAGCTAATTGTTGATTAAAGCCTGAGTGGAGTATTTTTGGACAGCAACATTTTTTTATAATAATAAATTCTAAAAAAAACGTAATAAAGTTTTGTATGCTTATGTTTAAAGCTGTTAATCAGAAAGTACTTTAACAGGCAAATTAAAAAAAAAAAAAGAGTACATTATTATGATTCCAATGCCGTTTGCAAAATCAATTTTAATGTTATAGTGTCTATGTTACAAGCATTTTACTACAAGGATAGTTTACCCTTTTTTAAACGATATTTGCTACAGCATGGGCAGTCACTGGTGGAAGCGTTGCCATACACATTAGAGAAAAGAACGGTTAGTAAATATTGCGACTACTAAAGTGTTAAGTGTTAAGTGCTATCTTCTATTTCTACTTTCACTACTGCTGCAGTTAGGTATTGTTGCTATTACTGCTCCTGCAACTGTAAGTACTGCTGGGTTGACCCTGTAAGTCTTATCTGATCTCAATCACCTGCTAGGCCTACATATTACAGTCAGCTGATTACATAAGACCTCTGAGTACGCCAGGTTTGATTTGTTGGCACATAAATTAATCACTAAAAAAATGAGCTTGCATTTTCTTAAGGCTTCTCTTTCACGTACCCTCTTACCTGAGGTAATTAAATTGACATATCTGTTTACGTGCTTACAGAAAGACTTTGCTTCCATCATGCTGTAGACTTTCGTGCCCTGGAACCTATGGTGCGTTCCAAGATTTTTTTATAGCATCTGTCTGTTTCATGAATACCTCACAGGTGACATGTATATTTTAATTGGACATTATTCATCAGGGAGAAAAAATTAATAATGTCTCAGATCGCAGGGAACTGAAGCCTAGTGCAAAGATGAGGCTTTAAGCATGCGATCTATAGGATTCTTTGTTTTCTCCCATGGGTTGTATACGGTTTTTCAACAGCCCTGCACCGAAAGATAGATTTTTTGATCCGTGAAGCAAAAGAATAATCATCGAAGACTCATTTTCATTGATACTATCGCCGAAGTAATGCGCAAACCACGGAATGCATAGGTGAACACACTGCAGGAATATGCTGAAATGGTGCTGTTTTATGGGCAGTACGATCTGCCTATAGAAATGCTGCTGCGGTGGCTCGTACGTATGCCAAATACTTTTTCAACCACCGGCATCCATCACGTTATGTTATTCTTTTAGCAATGGAAAGATTATTTTATGATGGCAAAGTATTACCAGCAGCGCAACCAGGTCGTGGCTAAGGTAATGACAAGTCCATAAATACAACAAATGTCCATACAATGATTTTTTTTTGCAATAGAGAGCGAAATAAAATTGTTTACCATACTATTTTTAGTGTGTCGAATATGTTTTCCCGAATAGTATTTGGTATAGTTGTGCGACATGAATCTATACCGCACAGTGTGCAGCAAAAGTGTGGGACATGAGTTTTACAGCACATTTATAAGTAATGTACTTTACTTGAATACGATTCCACTGTATTGCTTCACTGGTATGCAATAAGTACGTTAATTTTAATTCTTAAAGTAATGTACATTGTATATCATTTAAATACGTTTGTATACATGAACTCTTTAATAACCCCCCGCACCATCAGGGGCCTCTGCTCCTAAGCCCCACACAACCTTTGAGGAGAACCTATTATAGTGAATACTTTTAATCTAAACTGCAGCTGTTGTAAAAAATAATCAATGCAATTAGTTCTATACGTGTATACACTGAATTTTATACACATATGCTTGCAGTAAGTGTGTACGAGCTCGTCCGGAGTAATGCGCAAATAATCCGTTACTTCAATTCAAAGTGTAACCCGATTTTTCTCACAGATATTACGAAAAATCTCGTACGCAGCTCTTGCTGAACCAGATGTGATTGACTTGCACTTGTAACTTGTGCTACGTACTCGTGTGATCAACTGGCACTCGTTCCTGGCAACTCCGGCCACTCGTGCAAGTCAATCACATCTCGTGCGGGAAATCGTATATCCTTTTGCTGCACAACCTTACTAGTTTAAAGTAACCACAATTCGTCATTCGATTGTGGCTTCATACTATCATTGTTTTATAATTCGTTCAAAACAATATTGTAAGTTTAGAGGCTGTGACATTGGAATAGTTTTTACATAATTCGCTTCCATAACAGTATTCAGTTTGCTGTTACAGATTTAATTCAAGGTGCCCCTAAGAGGGTCCGAACTGTAAAAAACGAGAAGTGATAACTTGAACTCATTGAAGAAGATCGCACAATAAGTACTTGTGATATAAGCAAGCGTATAAGTCTCTCTCACGGAACTGTGCAACAGATTCTTAAAAAGAATGGTCTGAATGTATATCATTAAACGTGAGTGCAAGATATTAAAGAGCAGGAATATTTGGCGAGGTAACTTCACTATATCTTATTACGTGTCGTGTAGATGGCTATATCATCGAGACTGCCGCTGTGATCGAAGTTTTAATCTATAATTATATGCACATTGATGTGAGTGTGATAATTACGCCCAAATTATTATTAATTCATTTTATAATGTGGCTTACGATACTATAATAGTTTATATTACTTTTCACTTATACCATTTTTACCCGTAAATAATAGTCTTGTGCCATCCAAATACAGTGTTTGTGTGACTCCTCAACGAAAAGCTTAAAAAATGCATATTTCACTATCGTATGGTAATTCACTTCTTTCATGACATACATCGCGCAAATTTAGTGGCTACCAGATGTATTATCCGCAATTTTTGACAATTTTCTTCCAATTCTATGCTGTTGTAGATTGGACCAATTCAGTTTTCTCATTAATTAAATGCTCAGTTTTATATGAAATTTTTACAAAACGATTTGTCAAGATTGTTAGAAAATATACCTTTTCCTGCTAGGCAGGAAATGTGGTATCAGTATGATAAAGCACCTTCTCACAGTGCCAACATTGTGACCAACAGCTTGAACCGCCTTTATCTTAGCAGATGAGTCAGTATTAGAGGTACACCTGTTCCTTCCGCGTTCTAAATCATATCTTTTTGTATTACACAGTGTTGAGAGTTATTTTCATTTCTATATGTTATAAGCCTATTCTGATATTGAAGCTTGCTACAGTGTTATATGGACTTTTACATATTTTATCAAATTTTTTCGTACACCGTAATAGTGAAATAATAACTAAATTTCATCAACTTTACATAAATAATGCATTAAGTGGCGATTTTTTATGCATACAGTCATTATTCGCTTAAAGAATATAATTTAAAAAAAAAAAATACCACCTTGAAGACGTAGGTAAAGATTAAACTATCTCTTGAAATTTTTTACATCCATTCTCTGGCAATGCTGTTGAAATATTTAATCTAAGTTTTAGATATTCATTGATTTACCGATATCTCAAATAATATTTGCTCCTGATCTTGAAAGTGTTGTAACGTACGATATGCAAGGCAAATCATACTGACTCTCCCTGGTAACAGCGAGGCTACTTTGACAAGAGCGCATTGACAGGAGGGGAAGAAGGTAATATAAAGCCTAGTGAGCCTCAAATCGCGGCAGTCGAGCACTATCAGTAGGGCGATTCCGGCACTCGGCATTCGAGTAGTCGGACAAGAAGGCAGTCGAGCACTATCCAGAGGGTTGGGTGTTATTTACAAGGAATCTACTTTTGTTTTGATCGATATATTAATTTTAATTAAAAATTACATACTCAGTCACCTTTAAGGCCTGATCAATGTATGAAAGTACTTTATAATTTTATTAGAGAAAAAAGTGTAACCAATGATCAGTCGTTTTTTTTAATATAAAACAAATTTGGAATCTAGTATGAAGGTGATCTGAGTTTGTTACATAGTGAATATGTAGAAGTATATATGTATGTTATCAAGTTCTTCGACTAACTGATGTAATTATTATCCAAACATGCTCAAAGTTAGTTCATAGCTTCCAGTTAAATATGTAAGCAAG